AAAAAAATTTGTCTTTAGACTTTCATAACTATATTTAAGCACTTATCACTGCAGACGCACATCAAAAGTACCCAAAATTAATTAAAAAAACAAAGATTAAGCTACTTGGCATCTACTTGGAAAAAAATGTCCTAGAGGGGCGCCGGTATAAAATGTATACTGGCTCTCAAAATTCAGGATTTCTCTCTAGATTTTTTTGAAGTCTCAATTTTGTGTCCTTAAGGTCCATAAATTATAGTTCATGCAAAATTATACCACAGTTTAAATTATTTTATATATCACTCCTCAAAGGGTTAAGCTAGGCTAAAATTATCTTTACTGATTCTAAGGCATTTCAATTAATGTAGCAGACTGCACTGCTCCCTGATCTTCTAATTTGATCTAGCTTATTAGTTTTTGCAAACTATTGTTATTACGGCAATTTTATAAAAACTAAGCCTCAACTTTCAATTATGTCGAAAAGAGTTTCCAATTCTGGAATTGCCAAAGGAATGTGGGCAATAAAAAAGCAGAACCATGTTTCGATGTCTATTAAACAAAAAGTGGAATTGCTGCAAAAAATTGAGAAAGGCATATCTGTCTCAAAATTATACAAGAAGTATGGCATTGGAAAGTCCACTGTATATGACACGAGAAAAAGAAACTTTTTGAATTTTTTTGTGGAAGCATCTTAAACAACTTACATTGAAAGAAATGTTTAATAAGTAAAAAAATAAATATTAAGCTTTTTTTTTTGTAAATTTTGATAAACTTTAGATCATAATTGTTCTTTATTTCATAAATTATGATTTCATATTCGTAATTGTATAATTTCTGCATACCATCTTACCAGATTTCAATTGATGATCTATTATCCGGAAAAATCTGGAATCGCCGAAGTCCCGACCAGTCCGGATTTTGGACTTTGTATTATATTATCTTTCACTAAAAGTTTAAGTGAAGTATGAGCCGAACTGTTGTGTACATTAGGACAATTTTTGTGTCATCAGGTAAACTAACCGAATTCTGCAGAGCCTTGGGTATGAAATGATTTTCAAACCAACCATTCATTAACATTTGTGCCATCTGTGTTCTTTTATTTGCACGATATATACAGTCAAAAGTCGTTAATTCGGACACCCATAATCCGGAATGATCTATAATCGGACAAAGCTACAAACTTTCTGCGCATTGACGCGTGCACGTAAGACCTTTACAGCTGCGAATATGTGTGTGCGCATGATACGTTTACACATGCGCGTTTAATGTATAACGGACAGTATAAGCTAAGCTAAAATTATCTAATTCAGTTAATGTTGCAGATTGCGTTTCCTTAATCTTTGAATTGGATCCGGCTTATTATTTTTTGCAGACTGTTAGAGCAATTTTATAAAAGTAAGCTTGAACTTTCGATTATGTCAAATAGAATTTCCGATATATATTTACTAATATGTAAAGGATCTACAAAGCATAAGTATGTTTCGAAGTGAATTAAACAGAAAGTGGAATTGCTGCAAAAAATGAATAAAGGCATATCCTTTGATTATCTAATCATTCCGAAATATGTTTATCAATTTCACGCTGCTCTTGCGGTGGGAGGGAAACGGCGCAGAGCGCAATGAATGGGAAGGTGATCTGTCAGCACCATCCTTATCTTCAGGGCAGATGTTTTTAATTTTATTTGGCTTATAATTCTTTACTAAATGTAGTAGTTCATCTCGATGTACTCCATCTTTGATATGATTTAAATCAAGTTCCTCGTCATTATAATTCGCTTCCGATAGTGAAGAAAGTGACACAGAGGTTATTGAAAACGAAAAAATTTCGATTGACAAATTAGTCGGTATTCTCGACTCAGCAATTATAGGACTTGAACGGCGGAACTTTGTAACTAAACAAGAAATTATGTCTGTTTAATAGAATTAAAGAAAAAGTATTATCACATGAAACGAAGCAACTTAAACAACTTACATTGAAAGAAATGTTTAATAAAGTTAACAAATAAATATTAAGCTTTTTCTTTTTGTAAATTTTGATACCCTTTAGATCATAATTGTTCATTTCATTAATTATGGTTTCATATTTTTAATTTTATAATTTCTGCATGCCATCTTACCAAATTTAAACTGATGATCTATAGTCCGGAATCGCCGAAGTCCGGATTAACAACTTTTGTCTGTATATAAAATGGGAAATTTTTCATTTATGGAAACCTGAGCAGTTTAATACTATGGAAACCCTATTATGATGTAATACATTGCGTGATTGTGGTGAATTTGAATGATGGGAAAAGATTTGGGCTCGTTTAAATGTTTGAGGTCATGTATTTTTTCGATTACGAAAAGTTTACACTTGTGTATTCCTGCAGCATTTGCGTATGCTAAAATTGTTAGTATCGCTTTGAAATCTTTAGTACGAGTTGAAACCTTTCCTATAGAGTTAGCCAAGATATTTTGTGGTATGTATTGCCAGAAAAGTCCAGTTTCATCAGCATTGTAAATTTGTTCTGGAGGTAACTTTTAACTATTAATGAGTTCAATGAATTCATCTGTAAAATGTTCAGAAGCTTCATTAGCGGCTGAAGCTTTTTCACCTGTAATTCTGAATTGCCTTATACCATGGCGATTTTAAAATTTTGTTAACCAACCTGTTGAATATGTGCTCTTTGTTTTTAAGTTCATTTCTTTGTGAAATATTTTAGCTTGAACCTTCAATGGCACGTCCTTGCTGCGACACTGTCTGACCTTTTCAGTCCTCACTTTTAGCATAACGAATAATTTTTCTGTTATTCATTGTGAGTGGTGTGTCAGAATCCACAAAACATTTAAAAAGTTCCTTTTTCTGTTTTCTTTTGTCATATACAGTTGACCTCACAATGCCATACTCCTTGCATAATTTTGAGACAGATCTACCTTTATCCATTTTTTGCAGCAATTCCACATTTTGTTTAATAGACATCGAGACATACTTTCACTTTGTAGATCCTGTTGCAGCTTGAGAATTAGAAACTCTTTTTGACATAATCGGAAGTTCAAACTTTAATTTTCATAAAATTGCTGTAATAAAAAAAAACCTGCAAAAAATAATTAAGCCGGATCAAATCAGAAAGCTGTACAATCTGCTATACTGACTGAAATTCCTTGGAGTCATTAAAGTATAATTTTAGAATAACTTAAGAGCGTCTGCTATACATTATTGTTTATGTAGCATGAGATTCGATGAAAGACAAGTTATTCTGCTAAATTTTATCTTGCTTCTATCGCGCACTGAGGCAATTAAGCCTGATGGTTAGAGTAGATTTAAGGGTGTCTATTGGATTATTGCTAAGTTGTTGTTTCATTTATCGGCAAGTCTTTTTTTCATTTATGGTAACCTGAGCAGTTGAATGCTATGGAAACCCTATTATGACGTAATAGGTTGCGTGATTGTGTTGAATTTGAACGATGGGAAAAGATTTGGAAAGGTTTGTTTGTGTGTTGGATTTTGGATAAGAAGTATGTTGTTATTTTATGGTTTACGTGGTAAAATGGCTGAATGTGGTAAGATTAATCTGAAGTTTCTGTATGATTTGAAATGAAAAGGAAAAAAGCATTTATTGACTGGTGTATAAATGAAGGTTTGCTTAGTAGCCATTATAAGTGTCCTGTTTGTAGGAAGGAAATGTATATGGTTGAATGTTGGAGGATACTAGCACTATGGAGGGTATTTTTGTGCATGCTGCGATGCCATTATACAGATTCTAGTTCAGATAATTTTAGGAAGCTTTTGGATGCTGTTAAGGAATTTTATTTGACTGAAGACATGTTAATTCGTAAATAAGATAAGTGGATATTTTCTTTGTGTAGTGCAAAGAGGAATTTCCTTTTTTGTTATTTCATTGTTTGATTTAAAATGTAGTTTATTGAGATTATGTAATTTTTTGTTGGCTGATTCTTTGACTTTTTATGTGAATATAGATCAATATGTATGGACAAAGTAAAGGGAGCCTGCAATTATTTGATATTTTTTTAAAGTGAAAATAGGTCGATTTGTACATGGATAGTGAGTTTGTGCAATTCTTTGACATGGTATTTTGGATTTATGTTGCGGCAAAGAATTGCACAAACTCGGTGTCCTATACTGCCCCAAATCACTAATTATTGCCAAGGAGCACCCGTAAATATATTTTTTCAAAGGTCAAACTTTGAGAGCATTTATTTGCATTTGTACTCAAGCAAAACAAACTAATAAGCATAAAAATTTCATTCTCTAAAAGACAAATCAACTGTATAGCCCCAGCTCATAAGATTCAATACTTCTTTCCCTGAATCACTAATGTTTCAAAATTTCCATAGTATCAGCCTAGGATAGAGCTATGTCTGACAGCTTGGTCAAACAAGACCCAAAGTGAACTAAAATATTTTGTGCAACGAAATTTTGGTCTTCCAGCTCGCTGGCCGAATTGCTTGTTTTTGCATAGAAACTCTTAATTTTAATTGTTAAAATTATTTTATTTTAAGCTGTTTTTTACTGTATTTGATGTTTTACGTTATTCTGTATTTTACAATTTTTAATGAAGTTGTTTTGAGATTTTATGTGTTTTTGCCTTGCTGCAAAGTGAGAACTGATTTAATTGAATGAGAAATATATCTCTAATGCAATAAGTTTATATGAAATGCAGTAAAAAATATGTATAATTTATAGGTTGTATAATGAAGTCGTGCTTTTCACGTCAGATGTTTGTGTTTAGACTGGGTTCATTATATTGGGGTTCATATTTAGAAAAATTCTTAAATTACCTCAACTCTTAAAGGAATTTATACCAAATTTTTTTGTTTAATAGTGAAGGTAAATTACTAATTTGTTTTGTATTCCCGTGGTTACAATTTCTCAGTTTCCCGAGGAAAAACTGTCCTTATTTCAAATTTGTATTATTTGAATTTTTTAATAAATATCAAAATATGGGAATTTGTCATTCTAGGCATAAAGCAGAAAGATACAATAAAGCAGAAATGTTTATATATATATTTTCTAATTTTTAGGTGTGTCAGAAACTAAACAAAGCACTTCAAATAAGCCAGCGGCAAATGATACTCAAAAGTCATCGGAAAGGTATTTTCACTTCATTATTTTTATCGTTTGGGGTCCTGTTTCTGTAAACTGCAAATTTTTTCATGTGATGTAAACTGAACTTAACTAAACTTTAAAGTAAATAAAATTTGATTAAAATATTAATTAAAATTAATTTACCTGGTATGTGTAGCATACAATTTTTCTAGCAAAGTTTTATTTCCTGTCTTCTGATAAATTCTTTTATTTCATCTATAAGTTAAAATCTGTATCTGGCATGCAGTTGTGTTTTCTATCCCACCTTCTGTGAAGGCAGAGCATTCTTTGGAACTCCTTTCAAGTCAAAATGATGTAATGTGAAGAAGCTATTACAGTCAAAAGTCTTTAATCCGGACATCCATAATCCGGAAGGATCTATAATCCGTACTTCAAAGCTAAAAACTTTCTGCGCATGCGTCAAAGCTGGCGCATGCGCGTAATACTTTTACGCATGCACGTTTAATGTATAACGTACGGTATAACCTAAAATTATCTAATTATCTATTTCAGTTAATGTTGCAGATTGCGTTGTTCCTTAATCTTCTAATTGGATTCGGCTTATTATTTTTGGCAGACTGTTAGAGCAATTTTATAAAAGTAAGCTTGAACTTTCGATTATGTCAAAAAAGAATTTCCGATTCTGGAGCTGCCAAAGGATCTACAAAGCGAAAGCATGTTTCGATGTCCATCAAACAAAATGTGGAATTGCTGCAAAAAATGGATAAAGGCATATCCTTTGTTTCTCTAACCATTCCGAAATCTGTTTATTAATTTCACGCTGCTCTGCGAAGGGGGGGGGACGTCTCGGCGCCCAATGAACTGTAAGTTGATCTTTCAGCACTATCCTTATCTTCAGGGCAGATGTTTTTATTTTATTCGGCTTATAATTCTTTACTAAATGTAGTATTTCATCTCGATGTACTCCGTCTTTGATATGATTTAAATCAAATTCCTCGTCACTATAAATATCATGAATATACATCAAATAGTTTTCTGGTTGCAATTTTCTATGTTCTACGACTATGTGTAATGTATGCTTTACGCATGTGCTCGTTGAAAGAAATGTTTTATAAAGTAAACAAATAAATATTAAGCTTTTTTTTTTTTTTTTTTTTTTTTTTTTTTTTTTTTTTGTAAATTTTCATATTGTTTAGATCATAATTGCTCTTTATTTCATAAATTACAGTTTCATATTTTAAATTCTATAATTTCTTCGTGCCATCTTACCAGATTTAAACTAATGATCTATAATCCGGAATTGCTGAAGTCCCAACTAGTCCGGATTAAAGACTTTTGACTGTACTATTCATTTAATTTTTATGGGAAAAAATTTCAAGCATTTCTACATCACACAAAAATTATGTGTTAAAACATAAAGTAACAGTAAAAGAAATATAGGTATGATAAATATATACTTGATATAAATAGAAATAATATTTGTTCAATATAATACTAGCATCCGAAACTGAAAATGCAGAATGTTGGAAGCCATAAAGGTGACAGCTGTGACAATCATGCATTTAGTTTATTGTGTAGGAGAGCCAAAGCAAAATAGTCTGTTATTTAAATGTTATTTATGTGTATCAAATTACTTTGTCTATATTTTCTAATCCTGCCTAGTTGTAGTATTGGCCCTTGAAATTTATTAGGCTTTTATGTAAAATATATTTGGTACTATGACTGATATATTTTAATTTCCAATCGTATAGTTCTTAACAATCAATCAAAACTTGAAGATTTCTTTTACTGTATGTGCTATATTGCAGTTAGTCAGACTATTGTACAATCATTATAGAAAACAAGCACTGAAATGAACTTTATTTGTAAAAATAAAATCACATTTCTTTCATTTGGTAACAAAAAGAGATACTAAATGTATCTTTTATTAAAGCAACATTTTGTAAAGTGGATCACATCTGTGCTGATGTTAACTGCTTAATATAATTGAAATTTTTTATTTTAAAAATTTTGATTTTTTTTCTAAGAAGAATTATTGATGCAAAGGTGCATGACATTGTAAGAAATTTGAATGTATAGAAGTTGTTCTCACATTTTTTAGTTGATTTTTGTTGTGATTACAGAAATATTTTATTTAAAATTTTTATGTTTTAAATGTTCTGTCTGATAACCTTTATTCTTCACCATCTTTATATCCTGTAATTTCCAAGACAATAGAGTCTTTTGTAGCAAAAGGTATTTTATCCCATTGCTCTCTAAGGAGTCTAAGGAGGCAAGTCTAAGGAGGCTGTAGATCGATTTTTGGACAACCCACTTTAAAAGTCCAAAAGCACAAAAGTACATCGGTAATAGATCAGGAGATTTAGTAGGGATATAAATGAAGGGTATGGCCGTGATACCTATTTCTTGATCCATTTTTTCCAGGAAATAAACAGTAGATTTTGACGTGTCGCTGCTTGCTTTGTCTTGATGCAGTTATACTGATTGATCACACTGTGTGTAAAAAGAAGATATTTCATATTTGAAAATTGGGTATAAAAATATTTTTGATAATATGTGGAGTTGATCTTAACATTTTTCTCCATTGTCTTTTTTTTAAATTTACAGTATTATTTTACAGTATAATTATTTTTTTAAATTAAAAACCAGCAACAATCATATATCCCTTAAAACTCTTTAGATTCCTTGAACCATGTTCTAAGATTTTTTCCTCTCCCCTTTGGTGATAATACATGGATCTCTTTTTGTAGCAGTCGTTTACGTACACCCAAGATTCGTCTATGTTGATAACATTATTCTATTTGTGTCCAGGTAAAAGTTTCTTATAAAGAATTATGGAGGCATGCTTTGTTTGGCGATATGTTGTGGAGAAAGATGATGTACATTATGTTTTTTCACCTTTTAAAGATTAAAATCAGCATTAATCACTTTGTTTACAGTTGACACTGAACATTTTGATGATTTTGCAACTGTCTTTTGACTTAGTGGATCTTCTTTTAACATTAAAGATCTAACTTTTGTAATGTTTGAAACATTACGTTTTTTTCCATGGATACATATTTGGAACAATTTTTCCACATGAAGCTAAAGTTTGATGTTTTTTCCTTTGTTGTTGACAAAGGGCTTTTAGTCTCGAACCTCATTTTTCTTATATTTTTCAATTTTCTAATAACGAGCTGCTGGCATGGCCAGCCACTTAAAGTAGTAACTATAAAAAAGAAAATATATACATAATGCTTTTAATAAATCCATTTGCTGCTGTTTCACGAATCCAGTTGGTAATTAATAAGAGATAAAGAACTCAGGGTTGCCACGCTACCTGGAAAACCGGAAAAAGGCAGGGAATTCGGAAATTGACCAAAAAATTCAGAGAAAAGTCAGGGAATTTAAGTGTTTTAGTCAAAATCTGGAAAAGTCAGGGAATTTCATACAACGATCCTGCCAAAAAGGCGAGTTTTGCGCTGACGTCGGAAGAGATCATTTTTTTGGCGAATTGTGTATCACGTGAGTGTCATTCGGGCAGCTGGCATAGAGCCAATTTTCACAGCTCCAATTTGATTGTGTTTTAGAAAGGCAAATCAAGTTTCCCACAACTTTTGGTTTCCAGTAACCTCGAGAATCGCATGTGCAGTGCATGAACTAAAGAAAGTAATATTAAAGTGTGAAATAAATATAAAATACCTCAATTTAGTAAAAAAATATCATTAAATAGATTTTCTTTCATTTAGCTGCAGAATGTCTGCAAAAAAAGCCTTATTTTATTCCAGATTGGGAAGATTCTAATCTCAATCTTCAGTGGAGAAAACAACTCCTATTATAATTATATTTGTGTTTTCAAGTGTTAAGGTGCCTTTTAAGAAGACACCTCACACAAATTAAATTTACCTGAAATCTAACCTAACTTTTTGCATTGCGTTGTGATTTATAAGAACCGGATTAGCCTCATGTTGAACTGGTGATGATCATGAGTAATAATTAAATAAAACGTACAATTGTTATCCAATGTATATATTTTTAAATTTTATTAAGTTTCTTAAGTGGAAAAGTAAACAAAATTATCAAACAAAGTGTACCAAGAATAAATAAGAATAAATGTCCTCTGAGATTTATTGAATAATTAAGTGAATTTGCTACACAGTACAAGTAATACCATAATTAATTTACCTCTTAGCACAGCCAACGTACATTACGCGGATAGACTTGAATTTTCTCGAAACATACCTGGAAAACCTGGAAAAGTCAGGGAATTTCATTCTCCTGTTTGAGTGGCAACCCTGATATATCAAATTCTCCTCTACTTTTATTATCTTCTACCAATATTACTTTTGGTTTAAGAAACTGTATACAGTTATTTAAACCTTGAATATAAAATTTTATGCAAAATCTGTATTTTCTACTTTAGTTCTTCAGTAGCTGCAACATCATCTGCACCAAGCAGTGTCCAGAGTTACAGTCCACTTAGTTACAGAAAATACAAAATTTCTGAAAACTCTGTTTTTCTCCTACAATGCTTAAATTCAAAATTCAAATCAATTTTTAAAAATTCAAATGCTAACACTCCTTTATTGGAATTAAAATTGACATCTGCAGAATTTACAAAACTCAAATCTGCTCTCGGAATATAGCCTTATCAGAGAAATGGGCTGCAAATGACTCCTAATTGACATAAGGCTTCCTCTCTTATACAAGGAGTCATCGTATAGTCCCAGATTTTTGGACTATTTCTTATTTCTTTCCAAAGCCAGGATTCTGGTAGTTGATCGTCATCAGATGTATCATCAATAATTATTCGCCTATACTTTCTTTGAAAATTACATAATTTGTCATGTTTACGATTGCCTGGATTAGCATGTTACAGAAGTTGTGGAAATGTTCCGAATGCTGCGCGAGCTTGTATACAATTTCGGCCCAACATATTCGAATCTAAATCGTAGGTTAAGGGGTTAATATCACATAGGGATCATCTCGCTTAGGCATGAATTTACTTATTTCCTGTAGTGGGCCTTTGCTGATGGAGATTAACCCAGATTTTATCTCCAGGAGTAAACAGTTCTCGCAAGATGTTTCAAATGTAGAGTAATTTCTGAAAGGAAATTATCATTCTCAATTATGGCTTTTATGTCATGCTCTACATCATCCAAGTTTCATAAATTGTGTGCAAATTGGAGAAATGCAGCAGATTCTCTGGTTGAATCACATTTGGTTGTATTTGAAGCGAATCTTAAAAATGACAGTTTATCTTATCTTTAAATGCTTAATGGCCATTAATGCTATCAGCCGTATCTAATTTTTTTTTTTTTTTTTTAACTTCTATCATGGGTCTGTGGAATCTACCAAACAATGAAGGTGATGCTATTAGTTTCTTACAAGGCTATAACATATTAAAAAGTAAATGCCAGTGTTCCAGTTTGCACAAAATGAAATTGAGTCAATCGAAGAGCGCATGGTGATGTTTGAAAGACATGGAACTAGTAGGAGTATGAGTCGACAACTAGTATTTAGTGGCATTCACATGGTGGTGGAAAGTTGTAGCTCAAGATAAAAAGCCCTTTGAAACTATTGCCAAACATTTTCCATCCAAAATAAAGAAAAATTAATTGTATCAAATTACCTCGTAAACAGTGCTTCTCAGTTAATACTTAAGTGCTGTTATTTATTTCTTAGATGGCACCACAAAAAGTTATTTTTAAATATGGAAATAAGCACAAATTAATAGGAATATGTAACTGTAAATGGCTTCATTAAATTAATACCCATGAAATTTTTAATTCCATTAAATTTCAGTGGCTTCAGAATTCAGTAATAATGGCTTCATAAAATGAATTCAGTAGCTTTCATATTCAAAGATGTGATAAAATGAAAAGAAAAATAAATTATTAAAGGAACCATCAATTTTAGTGGTACCATTTAAATAACTAACTAAAAGTAATAGATTGCATACTACATAATTACTCCCCCTTTTTTTGGTGGGGGGACATTGTTTAGCTTTCATGTATACAGATAAGGAAAATATCTTTTATAAAAGATGTGGATTTTTAGGCTAATGGCAGAAGTCAAATGCATAGCATCTGTAAAAATAAATGCATCAATAATTTATGCAAATGAATGGGTACTTACGTATTAATGTAACCACCTTGATGTAATATGGTGATTTTTTATGATTTTTTATGATGAAATGGTCAAAGCTTTTTATTGGGTGCAGTTTGATGGTTTTCATGCCTTTTTTTTTAAAGAAAGATTAGATGGTTATCGTAGTTGATAAAAATTACCAACGTATGAAAAGGAAACATACCTTAGCAATTTAAAATATAAATTGTAATTATTAAATAAGGATCGCATGATGTATTAAAAAATAAAACATTTACATTCCTCTACAAGTGTTTCTGTAAATTTTTTGAAGTATTTTTCTCCAGAAGTTCAGAGTGATCTGTTTTCCCTTAAAAAAGAATCAGAGAATTACAGGTACTTGACTTCATGCAAACCCTGGCAAACAGTGGCTATAAACGAGGAAATGCATTTCTTTGTTGTTCCCATTAGAAAATGTTCAGCAAAATTCTGTATTCCTGCTATAAGTTTCCACAGTTTCTTGTATTGCTGGCAAATTCTGCAAGCTCTTATTTTAAAACTAAGTTAAGACAAAAAATATGATTTGCTTATAAAAACCATTAGAATTGGAATGCAACAAAAAAGAATGCATACAAAAATTGTTTAACTGAAGGATTGTTATGAGCATGATCACCAGAGTACTGTACATTCTGAAAATTTGGCAACTTCTACTAATCTGGTTTTATTAATATGTAAGTACCAATGAGTAAATGAATGAATTAGGAGGAGACACGTAAAAACATATATTAGGTTATAGTTACTTTTATTCATAGACATATAAATTAAAACATGTTTTATAAATTCCTTACTTTCATTCAAAAACAGAATGGGGAATCACTGGGTCATGAAATATTTGAACTGTAATTAATTTAGCCTGAATGTTATTTTCGTAAGATAGGGGTTGGCTGTATGATGACAAGGATAAAATTCTGATTATTCTGTTTTTATGGGCTAGAGATAGGCTGACTGATGATTATGGTAACAGTTGTTTATCTGCAGGAAATTGAGGTTGAGAGATAAAAGGGAAATGATATAACACCGATTTTAATTCACATCTGGTTACAAGTATAAAAAGTCTTAGAAAAAGTGATCTTTAGAAGAAAGTAGTTCTAATATTAGTAAAAATAATCCCTCTCTTCACCATGCAAGTGTTCAATATTTTCGTTTGCTGCTTAGCAGCTTATTTCATTCATAGGAAGCTGTTTAATTTCTAACAAATATGTCAAATTGATATGATTCTTATGCTAAAGTATTGTCATTATCTTTATAATGTAAGATAAATAAATTTGTTTATTTTTATGTGTTTTTGACACTTATATTGTGTAATTCATTTTTTAATTTTATTGCTTTTGTAATATATTTAAATTGAAATATTACTATTGGTTTAAGAAACTGTATACAGTTATTTAAACCTTGAATATAAAATTTTATGCAAAATCTGTATTTTCTACTTTAGTTCTTCAGTAGCTGCAACATCATCTGCACCAAGCAGTGTCCAGAGTTACAGTCCACTTAGTTACAGAAAATACGAAATTTCTGAAAACTCTGTTTTTCTCCTACAATGCCTAAATTCAAAATTCAAATCAATTTTTAAAAATTCAAATACTAACACTCCTTTATTGGAATTAAAATTGACATCTGCAGAATTTACAAAACTCAAAGAAATCTGCTCTCGGAATATAGCCTTATCGGAGAAATGGGCTGCAAATGTATCTGAAAATTCTGATGTGTCAAATGCTGAAAAAGTGCTGAAAGTGAAACGTCCATATTTGCATGAGCTTTTGAAGTGTATTTCAGATAAAACTAAGCAATCATCTTTGAATATCTCGGGAATCTCTGTTGCAGATTCAAAGACGTCTGTGAAAACATACAGTAGGGCAAAGAACAGTTGCACCAATTCTAATCAAATACTTATATCAGGAAAAGACAGTAGTCAGCTTCTAAATGCAGGCATTAATTCTAATATAAGGCGATTATCAGATAGCCATCCTAGGGGTGCTATGGATGAATATGAAGTGTTTTGTGAGAAAGAACAGAATCTTAGAAAATTGCTGGATGCATTTCCTGGAGCTGACATTATGGTATGTAGCTAATTAACAAAATGTTTCAGTGCAATTGAAATTTTAATGTTCTAACTGTTATTTTAATGAAAAAACTTTTGTAATACTTTTCATGGTAGAAGTTTAAAAAATATAAACATAAAGCTTTTTAATATTATTTAGCATTTTATTTTATTATAATGTACAAAATTCTTGAAATAATTTATTTTATCGAATCTATGTATGCTATATTGTCATAAGTGCTATTTGAACAAACCTTTCAGGTTCTGTAATTTGTTTTGAATTAATATTATTAATATTGCTGATGAAATCATTAAGAAAAGAAAATTTTTCTAGTAATCATGAAGAAAAGAAAATGTATCTATCTTAGGTTTGAATAGATTTTGCTATTCTTTCATTAGAATTAAGTTCAGAATTAGTAATGAATAAATATTTTTGTTTTGATTATAATTCATTTGTTGAGAATTACAATTTTAACTGAGTTATAGATAAACATTGAAATCTGCTTTTTATTTCCTCTATGAAATAGATTTCTGAAATTACTTATAAATGAATAGAATGTAATTAATCTTCATTATAGGAAAACAAAGTAAGTGTTGCGTAGGGGAATTTTAGTGAAAAAATTAACTGTTGAGTTTTTGTTTGAAAACTGAAGGATTATGTGTGGCTAAGGTAATCCCTTCAGTCTGTCTCCTGCTGCCATCTACATGTACTATTTTGAGGTCAAATAATATTATAAACTTTTTTTTTTTTTTTTTTTGTTTTTTTGTTGTGAATCTGGGACATTCATTTGTACTTTTGATGGTATAAAGATGATTGAAGATTTTACCTTTTCTGAATTCAGTTAATCCAGCCACGTTTGGAATTCAATCTACTAACTGCCTTCCTTTTCTTGATATTCTAATTATCTGAAATGAATTTAACTCCTTGCCACTATAAACTTTTCTTTGTTTGTTTCCTTTCTTATGCAAAACCATGTCATCCTGCTAAACAAAAAACAATAACTTTGATGTGTATAGGCCTTCCAAAATTTTTTGTTTCTGAATCTGTTGCTGTCTCATGAACTTACTTATTTGAAATTAGTTGACACTGACAAAATTTGTTTCCCATGGCCATTGATAAATACTTTAAAAACATTTCATCTCACCATCAAAAAATACATTCCTGTATTAGAAGTAACAGTAATAGCCATGTTATTACATTTCATCCTTCTGTCAGTTAAATAATTGTTAAAATTTACTGGAAATTCAACTTTCAGGTTATTTTTCCATCTATCAATAAAATTCATTGTTTTGTTCAAATGCTTGAATCCAGAAATAAAATAATCCAGGGATTGAAACTGTAATAACATATCATATAAAATATTAACTTTACCTAAAAGTAACATATTGTAACAACAACAACAAAAAAAAGGGGGGAATTGGTGGTTCACAGCTCTGTGAGATCTACAGTTAAGCCAGTACTCGGCTATCTGGAATAGCAGGAATACAGCCTGCTATATGGAATAGTAATAGCAAGCGGTTTAATTAAATAGCCTGGAATTAATTGCAACATTTCCACTCTAACAAGTAAACCTCTCCTTTGATACCAGTTGGCTTAAAAGCTTATGTCACAAGTAGAAAAACTGAAGTTTTAGGGGCTGAAGGACAAGCATTTGCAGAGTTGCCAAGGAAACTCCCGAATTTCAACCGCTCTCCCGCCAACCCGATTTACAATATATTTCTTATTCTTAAAATTTTTCACGATTTTTATGGAACTTTGCTTAATACTTCGTTATATGAACAGAAAAAAGAAGTGATTTTGGACGTCTGAAAGCAATTGAATTTTCTGTTGATTGTATCTAAAACAAAACTTTGTGAATCAGATGAGAACTTCTGCTTTGTGAGTGAGAGCATATACATATCCAGAAACGTCGTTCTCCAGTTCTCCAATGGGCATCGAGCTCTACTGTGCGTCATCTGGCATATATAGCCAATGAGCACAAAGCAAGTTTAAGGCTTTGTACTCATTTAGATGTTCTTTAGTTATTTCGTTCATCTTGTCCTGAGTTGTGTGAGTACACGTGCCTTCGGGAAATAGTTTTAGAAATTATCATCTTTTGTTATATCTGCGAGAAAGGTGAAATATCGTGTACATTTCAAAAATCGTACACAGTTGACTTTCCTTCCATTATTTCCTCAAGGAAATGTAATAAATTTGCGATGTGTACCGTCTGTCATTGCGATTTTTCGATTTTGCATGGTGGAAGGGCAGGATGTTCTCAAACATGTGCGTATACACAAAAACACAAGGATAACATGAGTTGTTTTGAAAAAAAATGAAAAATTAAATTTCTCTTTGGAAAAACAAAGGGGCCAAAAAGTTATCAATGCAGAATGTCTGTTCTTTGCTTTTTTACTGGAGCATAACCTGCGACTGAATGCATCGGATCACGCTGTAGCTTTATTTAGAAAAATGTTTCCCGATGGTGAAATCGCTAAGAAATACTCAAGTGCAAGGACCAAAACAGGTGCAATTGTTAAAAAAATGGCTTTGAAAAATAAATCTTCAGTTATTGATTGCATTAAAATAGCTCCGTTCTGCCTCTCTACGGATGGAAGCTATAATACGGATTCAAAACTATCCAATTGTCGTTTCTTTTTTAAATCCAGAGTCTTCAGAAATTGAGTGCGATTTACTTTCTGTCACCACTTTAGAAGGACGTTCGACAGGCTTTAATATAGTACAGCTAATTATTAAAACTTGAAAAGAAAATGCAGTCCCCCTGGATAATTGCTTAGCACTTGGTGCCGATAATGCACCAGTAATGGTAGGCTTGAAGTCTGGTGTTGCAGGCATCTTAAGAAAGGAAAGTTCAGATTTGCAGATTATGAAGTGCACCTGTGACCTCTTAAATTTAGCTTCTTTACCAATAAATGTGGACGAACACATTGTTGATATTTATTATTATCTTGAAAGAAGTTCTAAAAGGAAGGAAAAATTGAAACAGTTCCAACAGCTGCATAATATAATACTGAAATGAGAAAAATTTTGAAACGTGTGTACACTATGGCGGTCTTTAAAGAAACGCTTATATAGAATCCTCAATCAATGGAACCCACTTCTTGCATTTTTTAAAGAAGTAAATGCTTCGAGAGTTAAGATAAAAGGCTCTATTGAAAGTTATAAAATACCTAAAGTAAAATGGAGATGTAGTTACTACTTCCATTATTAAAAATAGGTTTGAGAAAAATAAAGTAATTTCTGCATCATTCAGCAATTCAATTGGCAGTTCTCAAAATAATACTGCAAAATATAAGCGTAAAGCTGATACAAATTTATTTCAAAATTAAAAAAAAAATGCTCAACACATGAAACATTTTCTGATTACTGTAAGTTTATCTTGTGAAGAACGAATATTTATGTTTTTTCTTCGGACTTTAATAAAGCTTTTTGCTTTTTTTTTACAATTCATTTTGCCATCATTTGATGTTCTTAACACAGTTCTACAAAGCAGAATTCCATTAATTCATGTTTTGCAATCAATGATTTATGATCTGTTTAAAGACATTTTATCAAAGTTTGTAAAACCAGTCTGTGTTTTGTCTTGTAATTCTATATATGATGTGATTTATGGTGAAATAGAAAGTCAGAAAAAAGATGGAGATTTGGTAATAGGACTGCAACTACAAAAGTACAAGGAAGAACTTTCAGAAAAAGACAAAAATAAGTTTTATCTTCGTGTTAGAAGTTACTTCTGTCGAGTATGTGATTACATATTACATAAATTTCTAGTCAACGATGAAGTGATTTTGCGTGCTAAAGTTGCTGATGTTTCTGCTCTAGCAAATGCATCTTTTTCTGCTATAAGGTACATTTTGAACAGATTTCCTTTGTTACTTCATTTAGTCATGAAAGATGATGATATTGATGTTGTCACTGATAATATTGCAATCGCAATTCGGCAGTTTACAATTAGAAAACTTGGATGAAGTTATAAAATCAGCTAGGATTGACACCCAGTGGAGTTTAATTAAAACTGAAAGGTGCTGATGGAATTTTAAAATATAGTGAACTGTCTAGAATTATGTTGGCCGTCTTGACAGTTCCCCATAGTAATGCAGAGTGTGAGAGGATTTTTAGTGTTGTTGCAAAAACGAGGAATTAATTTAGATCTAATATTAGTGATGACACATTAGAAAAACTTTTCTTAGCGAAAGCAGGCCTACGTGGCAATTGCTATCAACAAAATTATGAAGTTTCTTTTTTAACAAAAGCAAAATCTGCCACTGTTCATAACATTTATACAAAAACTGATTAAAGTGGTTTTTTTTTTTTTTTTTTCTTTTCTTAAACAATGCAAGTAATAAAAATGTTTTATGTGTGAGGTATTTTTGTGTTGCTTGCATTTAAGAATTAGTAACTATTTAAAGTTAATTCATTATTAGAAACTATATTTTTATCATTTAAAAAGTCTTTTTAACATTGTGAAAAATCTGATTTAAAAAAATTTCCGGATTTTTGAGTGTCATAGATTGGCAAGTATGCATTTAGGAGCTACAGGACACAAAAATTATCAAAAAAGTGTGTATAGATGGATGTACTTTCATAATGATGTCTCTATTTCTTGTATGTTCATGCATTGTCTGCTTCCGAAGTACCTAATGGCAAAGTTCTTCAAAAAGTTCTGGTACCTGAAGGATGTATGGGAAAGATCTACCCTCTGAATATTCATTTCTTCAGACACTAAAAATCTTTTTCGTTACGAAACAGACACAATCATTATCGAGGCACGGAGCACATTTGGCAACGCGATAGTTTTCTGGCCCAGCAATCCTTTTCACTATATCAGTTCAGCGCTCCTCAAGAACTTGATTAAGTATGCTTTTTATAAGGGCAGATACTTGAATGACAAACCTGGAATGTGGATTGCGCCAATGGATAACTGCTTCGATTCACTGACAAATAATGAGTGTGTAAAGTGTGAGGCTATCGCTTTTGTAAAATGTGCCCATTGCGAACTGTCTTTCTGCCCGTCTCGCTCTTTATTTGAGGAATTGCACACTGATTGTCTCTTGTAACAGATTTTGTTTGAAGTCAATAACAAGTCACATTTTCAACATCTAAACATATATTGTTTCTTTTCAGCGAGTTATTTCTTCTTTTATATTGAGATCTCCACCTACTTACCGTATTATTAGTTCATATAAATATATGAAACGAGCATTTTACCAACTTTTGGTGTCATGTTTCCAACATTTTACTGATACTTTGTGGGTCCCATATCTCCTAAATACTTTTCCCCTCTGGCCCTAAGATTTCACAGTTTTTCTACTTGTGACATCAGAAATTATATGGATTTCCGGCAAACTGGTATCAAAGGAGAGAAGGTTTACTTGTCAGGTACAATTTCCATGTAGCACTCTACCAGTTCAGTTTCTAAAATTCCCATCACCGATTTAAATTCTTAATTTATATGCCCAATATGGTGTGGTATGGTATCTCCACCTACTTACCGTATTATTAGTTCATATAAATACATGAAACGAGCATTTTAGCAACTTTTGGTGTCATGTTTCCATCACTTTACTGACACTTTGTGAGTCCCATATCTCCTAAATATTTTTCCCATCTGACCCTAAGATTTCACAGTTTTTCTACTTGTGACATCAGAAATTATATGGGTTTCTTTGTCAAACTGGCATCAAAGGAGAGAAGGTTTACTTGTCAGGTACAATTTCCATGTGGCACTCTAGCAGTTCAGTTCCTAAAATTCCCATCACCGATTTTAATTCTTAATTTATATGCCCAATATGGTTTTGATATATGTATTAGCTTACTAAAACAATGATAAAATTTGACTTGAAAGAATGTTAATCATAAGTTCAAAAAAGAGAAACAAATCTTTGTTAGGTGATCTAGTTGAGCACATAATCATAATTTTGACTTTTGTTCTGTGAAAATTTTTCAAAATTTGCTTCAGGTGGTGAACTGAAATTCTTTGAAGCTTTTCATGTGCGCAAAACTTTAATGACATTTATTCCAAGCCACATCTTTGTAACACTTTCAGAATTCTGATATTTTAATTTTTATTACTGTATCCCTTGAGGGATGGAACTACAGTTCTTAACGCTGTGCATTTCTTCTTCCAATATAAAATGGTTACGCTCATTTCATTTTTGTTTTAGAGACAAATTCCATTCCCTACAAGAACTTGGGAAACATTTTTGGATGCTGTGAACTTAATAATGATGTCATTAATGTTTAAATAAATATATGCATGCATGTAATAACATCCTCAACAAATTTAATTTTGCTGAATTAAGGTATTTTAAGCCATTAAACTAATAACAGCAATTTTCCCCCTGCTTTAAATTTCTGCCGTAATATTCTTCTTCTCTTAACAATGTACTTTACCCCCTTCCCTTTTCTGTTTAGGATTATTTTTAAATTTATATGATGTCTGAAAAGAATTCTCCCCTTGCTCTCTTAACTTCAGTAAGTCATATTAACTAAACTGGTATTCTTCAGCAATGATTAAACTTGCTTGCTCATTTTACTTTCTGCATGTCATGTGATCATTCTTCTGACCTGACTCTTCCCATCTCATTACATTCTACCTCACTATTAAGTGTTACTGATTGAATATGGAGTTCAACATTTAAGTGTTACTGCAATGCAAAAAAATATTTTTTTTTTTACTCAGGGATAAGTTTTGCTAAGGAATTGTTTTATCATGCCTGTGACCACTTAATCGCTTCTCCCAGTTTGTGGAGTTTTTTTGGTACTATTCGGTTTTGAGGGCCGTAAAAAATCCCCAAAATATTGTTGATGCCAGTTCTGCCAAAAATAATGCTTTCTTGCGGCAACCCTAACGCAAGAAAGGAAGTATAATAGTAAATAACTGTTTAAGATTGATGTTTTTATTTAGATGAAAGTTTAATTTCATATAATACTTTTTTATTATTATAATTTATATAAAAAGGCTAAACATGACTGAATGGAAGCATAACAGTAAATAACTATTTCAGATCATTTTTATAATTTATATAAAAATTGCTAAACATAACTGAATGGATGCCTGCATCACTATTTCGCTACCGAGTTATTGCTAAAGCATAGTTTCATCTCGTTGGTTGTTCAAACATATTTTTCTATAATGAATGATGCCTGTTCTTTGAAAAAATTCTCGGTAAAGTGCAGAATCACCCACTTAGTTGTTTGCCGCTTTTTACAAGGGTAAAAAAAACAATTAGATTTTTGTCAATTTTCTTTTACTTTTTAAGTGAAACTAGGTCGATGTGTACATAGATAAAGTCAAGGGGGTGCAAAGTGCCATTTTTGTGCAATTCTGGTAATTTTTTTTGTGAAATAGATCGATGTGTACATGGATGCCGAGTATGTGCAATTCTTAAAAACGCGTCAAGCAGTGAAAATAGGTCGATGTGTACATGGATACCGAGTATGTGCAATTCTTAAAAACGCTTGAAGCAGTGGGTGATTCTGCACTTTACCCAAAATTCTATTGCAGACTTTTCGTCATGGGAATTCCCAAATGTTAAATTCATAGGATATCAAAAAGGATTTAAAAAATTAAAATAGTATTTCAATGGCGTCTTAAGAAATATAGAACTATATAAACTTACGCGATCTGAAATCAGCGTGTACGCTAGATATGGCGCGCTGTTAAATGTGCGCATTTGCTAGATTTAGTGCTTTTGCGCATACATTTTCGCTGCAATTTTTTTATGGTCCTCAAAACAGAATAGTAACTTTTTTTTTTAAGTAATATAAAATGTATATTATTTAATTTATAAATGTATGTATTTATTAATGTAAAATGTAAGTAAATTAGGAATGAGTACCCTCCAGATGCTTTATTATAAAAAAAATTGTATTTTACAAGCATTAACCCTTTAACTGTCAAGTTATTTTGATGATTTGGGTACACAAATTGTCAAATTTTTTTATTGGAAAACCAAATGTAGCCAAAATAAACATCTCCCGATATAATGGGTATGACAATACGATGCACTCAAAAAAAAAAAAAAAAAAAAAAAAAAAAAAATTACCCCAAGAAATACTCGGCCGGGACATTTTCGAACACCAGTGAATCTCGGGCATGACAGTTAAAAGGTTAAGTATTTGCTGCTCTAGGAATCTCATTCCTTCTGTTTTTCACAAAAATTTGCTTAAAAGAAATTGCTGGAAGGCATGAATATTAGATCAATCTGGATTTTAGATTTTGTACTGAATCATAATTAGAATTTTCATGGGTTATTTAGTTTTTAAGTGTTTTATGTCATGACATTTTAAATGTTAAAAATATAGCTTTTATATATAAATTGCCTCATAGGTAATATATAAAATTCCTAAATAGTTTAAGAAATTTATCTTTTTTATGTCATATTGTATTAAATTGTTCATATAAATTTATGATCAGTCTTCATTTGTATCACTTTTACTGTATAGGAAGCACAAGATATTTTGGTGAAGTGTAATTGGGACCTCAAGAAAGCAATTGAAGTATCTCGAACAAAACCCCCAAGAACTACTAGAAAGAGATCTTTCTCTCAAGTAAGTCCATATCAGGCTGCTGACTGTCAGGGAGTTTCAGAAAGTGCACAAGTCAATTCAGGAACTTCACAGAAACCAACTAATGTCACTGAAGAAATAGTTTTAGATAGCAGTGATGAGGAAAATATTGTAGTACCTCCAAAGAAAAAAAAAGAAAAAAAAAGACATATATTGACATCTAGTAGTGGAAGTGATAGCAATGATCATTCTTCTGATTCAAAAAGTAATGTGTCGAGCACTGCACCATATTCATCAGCTGTAGCATCAAATAGTGTATCTAATACAAATGACTTACAAAAAAAGACAGCTCTAACAGTCCCGCAATCATTAACCATAAAACCTGTACCAAATTCAGCTGCAAAAAGTGATGAACAACCTGCAAAAAATGTATCTGTATCTAATGCTATTCCAAATCTGCCCAAGGGACTTGTGATTACTCAGATTGGAGCTGGCAACTCATCAGCAAATCAAACTGAAAGTAAATTATCTGAGCCATCTGTAAATGGGACGAAAAATATTGATAATGTGGCAGAAATGAAACGACAAGCTGAGAGCTCTAACATTCCATCCTTCAAATCTGTTGCCAATTCAAATTCTAAATCTGCACATTTGGTTCGAATCAAATCTTTGAACAGCTCAGTTACTATAAAGCCAACAGAGAATTCTGTAGGCATTAAAACAAGTGATTCTGTTACAGTGAATCAAGTGACAAATATTTCTGTTAATAAATCGGTGAGCATTATGCCTGTCATCAGTAAAACAGTAAGTATTACTCATGTAGGTTCAGAAAAGAAAGCATCTGTTAGCCATAATACAGGTGAATCTGCTAGTTCACAGCAAAATGCTTCAAAACCAAAGAATACTAAAAGTAAACGCAAAAAGTATGACTCTGAAGAAGAAGATGATGAAGATTATGGAAATGAAGATATTTATGATAGTGAAGATAGTGAGTGTGAAGAAAATCTCACTTCAGCTCATAGTGCTGTGCTAAAATTTTTTCAAGAATCTTCTGCTGATGAACTAGGTACTATCCCTGGGTGCAGTAAAAAGAAAGCCGAGGCCATAATTAATTGCCGTCCTTTCAGTGGATGGTCTGATTTAGTAAGTATTGCAGTTTATTTTTGATAATTAGAAGGAAATAATTTTTATATGTACTTCTTTCAATATATTTTAGTTTGTAAATCTTTTTCCTTGGAATTAAGTAATTTGGTTTTAATATGTGATTGTAAATAAGTCCTATCATTTGACATTAAACATTACTAATTATTAATTTCTAACTAACAAGGAATATTAGATAAAACATGACTACTTAAGAATATTCTGAAAATAGACTTTCATTTCAAAAAGTTTTATTTTATTTTAACTGAAATAGGGGGGGGACATAATTACTGCTCATTAAAAATAGTTTGTATTACCCCCTTATGTGTTCAAAGGGAAAATATTTCATCAACATATAAAAAGATAGGCCCATTAGTATACAGAATGTATTGTATAATGTGTATGCAGTGAGAAAGGGGATGGCTATTGAAAGAAATAATTGTGCATTAAACTTAGGTTACTTGGCAAGAAAGTTGATATATAAGTTGCTTTGCAACTCACTAGGTCTGGATAAAACAGTTCAGATAATTAGCACTTTATAGTGCCTAATTTAAGTAAATATGCATAATTTTAGCTTCAGCAGTATACATTCCAAGTTGTTATTGTTGAAAAGTCCATAAATGGGTTTAGTTTCTAGATGGCTGATAATTATTATCTGTTATAAACAGTTATTTTTAGTGCTTCACAATTAAAGAAGAAAAAAAAATCTTGTTCCTAATTAATTACAGTGAACTCTCGATTTATAGGGATAATATAGGAGAGGATATGTACGGTTAACTCAAAATCATGGTTAATCCAAAGCCAGTAAAAAAAGGAAAACTATAATATATGGAAATAAAAATGTTACAAGGCAATTAATTTACCAGTACAGTATTTGTAGCTATAGTAAATAAAATAAACTAAGATTTATAACTTAAAAAAGCTAAATAACATAATGTTCACCAGCTTTTGCCAAGACATATATATGGCTTAACGCAAAACAATATTTAGTATCTTGTATAAAAATTGTTTAGCAGGAAATGGAAATACATTGTGACCCTTGATGAAGCATGGGCTTATAAAAATAACTGCGGTGGGGGGGGGGAAGGCCTATTTATTATCAAAAGTGACGAATAGAAAATTACAGATCTGGTTGTGTCAATGCAGAGAAAGTGAGGAGTTTATGATTGTCACAGGACTGTCTTACAGTGGGAACTTAAAAATAAGTAGAGTGCGAAAATAAAAATCAACTTGGTGTTTACAATATTTACAGAAGAAATTCCATTTCTTTATTTCAACATCTTTCAAAAAGTGAAACTTCTTTGAGGCAGAGCAACAAATTATACTTCGAAAAATAGCACTACATTTCTTGACAAAATGGTGACTGATACTGGTAATGCATATAACACATCAATTAGTAAGTCCCGGGACTAACTAAGAAAACAACATCCATTTCGCAAAATTCACGTTTATTCATGTACATAATCACCATCAATAGCTATGCAATCATTCCAACGCTTTTCTAACTATTTGATACCATGCTTGTAAAACGATTTGTCCTTGTCCACAAAATAAGCTTTAGTGGCAGCGATGACTTCCTCATTCGAGCCAAATCTTTTACCATGGAACATCTTTTTGAGATCAGCAAACAGCCAGAAGTCGCTGGGGGGCTAAATCTGGGGAGTATGGTGGGTGGGGAAGCAGAGTGAAGTCCAACTTGCTCAATGTAACAGTATTTGCATTGTCCTGATGGAAGATGATTTTTTCCTTCATGTGCGGTCTTTTTTTTTTTGCGATTTCATCCTTCAGACCCACCAATAACAGGTACTGACTCCGGAGTGAAATAATGCATCCATGTTTCGTTCATTTTCACATACCGACGCAGTGACAAACAGCTCTGTGAATCGTCGACTCGCTGTTGCTTTTGTTCCATTGTGAGCACATGCAAATCCAGTTGATATGTTTACCATCTCGGCAATCTTGCAAACTTTCACTTTGCAGTCATTCATCACGATTTTCAACACTTATTTCACATTTTCCGGAGTGACTACTGTATTTGGCTTATCCGAGCACGCCGCATCATTTATAGCCGTGTGATCGCGCTTGAAATCAGCATACGAATGGCAAATGGTTGTTTTTGATCCTTAAATAGCAATGTTTAATCAATACTCAAAATTCGTTTTTCTCCATTTTGTCCACAAATGCACCAGTAGTGTCACTTTCACCACAGTAGCTTCGCTGTTTCCGGTCCGAAAGCCATGAAATTCAGACACGTGTCATTTGAAAGTTAGTTCTTTAGAACAACAAAGTCAAGTTGATATTACTATGCCATCTGTTGGTTAATCCCGGGACTTACTCAATGATGTGTTATACCTTTTCGATGTATTCCTGCAAAGTCCTCCGACGTTTCACCTATGGACTGTTGTGGCTTTGGTCTCCTGAAAAGATTTCTAAGTGCAAACCTACCGCAATAGATGGATTATGGAAAGGAGTGGGAGAAGAATAGAAACCAATATGCCTGGAAATTTTATAAAAGGCACTTTTTTTTCTATCATGGAAATCACAATGCAGACTTATAATCCAGGAAAAAGGCTATTGGATTGAGCATTAAAAAAATACTCTTTATATTTTAAACATTATTAAACTGCCCTGAAATCCTTCTAAAATGTGTAAAACCTGTTTGCATATATGACAGATTTTAATTTTTAACAAATTACTGTTCCAAAATGGCAAACTGACCTGGGTAGCAGGACCATACCTTCAAACTGGGGCAGTGCTAATAAAGCAGGATGTCTCATAAGCCCATCTAAAATGATAAAACATATAATTAAAAGCAATTTTTTTAAAAAAACAGGTAGGCTTATATTTGTGAAATTTATTACTAAATATTAAAAAAAAAAATTAAATATCCTGCCAAGTAGGTTTCTTTTTATTTAAACTGAAATTAAACAAGTTGTTAAGTGGTGTCCTCCATTGATATTTGTGGCAAGTTTGCAACACTGTGTTGATTTTCAGAGTTACACCTTTCAGTAATTGAACATTAATTGTTGATGTTTGTTGTGACAGCAGTAGCACAAAAATTATTTTCCTTATTCTAAGTACAGTAGCAGTGGTGGCACCGTAGCTAAAAATAGTGCTGGTGCTGTTCCAACAAATTTTAACCTTTGTTTTAAAATTTTATAAATCGAAACAAACATGTATAAAAAGAAAATTTATTTTAAAACTTCATAAAATCTTACAAGAACAAAATGAAACATTTCTTAATTACTTTAACCTAAATTTTTGCAGTTCAATCTTTTATCTATTCATTTAAATATGAAATCCGTTCTTCTTGTTTTAGTTGTAATAATTTTCTCCTTGATCTCTGGATGTCAACTGAGGAAATTTTTCTCTATTGAAAGCACTGCAAGCGCATTTAGTCTTTCCGAATTCATAGTGCTTAGAAAAGTTTTCATTCTTTTCAATGTTGAAAAGCAGTGTTCTGCCTGTGATGTAGTCAGGAGAACTTTCAAGAGAATTTTTATCAGTTCCGTAATTTCATTAACATCATCTAGATTATTTTCCAAGATAAATTTCAGTAGCTCAATTAATTTGCAGTATTAATGAATATCAGACCTACCATAGAATACTTTTAGTTCACTTTCAAGCTTTTCTTTGTCAATCATTGGATACACTTCAATGGTCAGCACTATTTCTTCTGTAAGATATAACTAAAACTAGCAAAGCATTTCTTGTTGAACAATATAGCAGCAGCTAAGTGTTAAGTGGGAAAATATCTGTCCATTATGTACATACATGTAAAGTCACATATTTCCTTAGTTTCTGCCATCAGTGTCTTTGAAGAATTCTCACAGAACTTTGCGTTTCTTAATTCTAAAATAGCAGTTTTGAAATTTGTTATATATTCTTTAACTTTAAACACACTAATTTTTCTGGATTGCATTTGGTTGTATATTACAGGGTTCGTATGGTCCTTAAGAGTCCTTAAATTTTTTGGAATCGACTTTTGGTCCTTAAAAGTCCTTAATTTTGGCCAAAATCAGTAGAAGGTCTTTAATTTTAATCATCCGAAATTTCTGTCTGTTTTTATGACTGCCATTTTGAGTGTGAATTAGCATATAGAAGGAATATTTTTGGCAATTCAATGACGTATATGGTTATCTTTTGAATGGGTTCATGCGGTTATAATTTGTTTCTATTTTTAATATAAATGACGAGATACTCGAGTTTCTAAGCAAGAAGTGAAACATAAGCATTTCGAAATTCATTTATTGTAATAAGAAGCTCTTAAACAATTTTCACTTTTGGGAATGTGAATTATTTTATTAAATGGTTCTAAATTTGGCGACTTGTCAACATTTTGGTGATTTTAAGACCAGTTTCTATAAAAAAATTTTAATTCTGATATCAGAATTTTCGACGATTTTTTTTTGCAAAAACATCATAACTTTGATAAATAACATTAAAATAAAACATTTTTATTTTCTGCTGTCATATTATAAAGTTTTATTTTGGCAACTTATACAATATTTTGAACCTGAAAAATAAACAAGGTATAATGCTATAAAGCACAATTTACGAAACAACTCTTAGCAAAAGCAAAATTCTGTGTAATTAATTAAAAACATCTTCTTTTTAATTTTTTCATAGTAAGCGTTTTTCCTATGTAATTGTCTCGGAATATTAGAAATTCTCAGAATATGGATCAGTTTCATCTATAAAAGTAATTTTACACTTTTCCCTTCTTTTTTTTGCAAAATATTTCTGGCTTTTTGCTGTTACAGAATTGGTTGCGATAATTTTTCTTTAGTATTTTTGACATTGCAACTTGGAAAATTTAGAAGGATTTGAAAGCAAGATTTATAGATCCACGATTGTAGAAGATTCGAGAAATATGTGACAAAGTGAAAAATGTCTCCATGGTATTAACGCGTAATGGATGTATTTTACAGAATGTTTGCAATGAATTTCTTACTTTTTGGAGAACGTCTGGAAGAACAATGAAGACATAAATATTATTTGAG